GTGTTCCAGGGATGTCCCCCCGGGAGGAGGCGCAGGGGACGACCCAGGAAACGCTGGGGAGATTATGTCTCTCAGCTGGCCTGGGAGCGCCTAGGGCTTCCCCCAACAGAGCCGGAGAACATGTCTGCGGTGAGGGAAGTCTGGGAGTTTCAGCTTAGTCTGCTGCCCCTGCGACCCGGTTCCGGATAAAGCGGGAGACGACGAGTACAAAATAGGGAAATATGTCTTGCTAAAACTTCATTCACTTCAAGGGAGTGGTAAAACCTTTTGAAAGTTTAGTAAATGACTTTGATTTTTAAAAGACACATAGCTGTTTGTTGAGAGAAATACATATTAAGTACAAATTCATATAACTGCGTCGTTACTTAAACGACTCGTTATGATGCAATATTCGTGCTGGTGAAGATTCTCAGTCATCCAGGTCAGAATCATTCCAAAAAAGTAAAAAAAACAAACCGCTGGCCTTCGAGGGCCGAGTTTGGACAGACCAGAGTTACACTGAACATTTTAGACTACATGTAAACTTTGTCAAAAGAGTTAAAAAAGTTAGAAAACACAAGTTTGAAGACGTTTCACTTCCAATCCAGGAAGCCTTTGAATTGAAAGAGCTTCCTGGATGGGAAGCGAAATGTATTAAAACTTGGAAAACAGAGTCCAGAGGGTTTTTTTTTTTTTATGTTTTTGAATTGTAAGATTTGTCTTTCAGGACATTAACTCAGCCTTCTTTAACCCATCCACAGACGAAAATGTTATGGGCATCCATGCTTTTCTAAGCCTTCATTTGTTTAGCAGTAATATTTCGATTCCGACTAATATTCGTGTCTCACATGATTGTAAGCCAATAATGGATTCAACAAGGTACTAGAAACATTCCTCAAAGAGTTTGGTCCATATTAAATAATATAATAAATATTACTGATATTACTCACTTTTCCATTTTCAATAGTGCTAACTCGTCTTCACTGGTTGAAAAACTGCAAATGTTTAAGACCATCCTGGCAGCCCTTGCCAGACTGCCTGCTTCCTGTGACTTTCAGCCATTTCTAAAGTAGTGGGGCTACAATGAATGGGTGAAACCAAAGCATACTAAACACATAAACACTAGAAGTGGGCATGCACAGCAACAGAAGAGGGTCACGTCCCAAAGACTGATATGTGGGACATGTGGGATAAAACAGTTGTAGTTGTTCATGTTTCCAAACTAGACCCGCAACGCTAAATTTCTCTGTTTAAAGTGTTTTTATACTTTTTTAGATTTTTTGGGAACGGCTTTGCTGAACTTTCAGCACATCATGAACTCCCGTTAACCGAAAATAAAACACCCTTTTTAACTGGTCGGGAAAAAACACGTCTTATCTTTTACCTACCATGAAATTCGGTCGTTAGTAACAAAGTGCCCACAGATGTTGCCTTACATAAGAACTATGAATTGTGGGAGAGGCAGGGTACCTCTAACGCAGACTGCCAGTCCATCAAATGTAAACAACCAGCAAGCACACACCCGTTGCCAAAGCCCTTTTAGAGAGAGACCAATCCATATAACTAAAACTTACAAGACTTATCTAGTCCGTGACTCAATTGGATCTTCAAAGGGCTTTAGATCTACTGTCCCCAGCACCATTTTAAACTTAAGGTCGATTCCTCAGACTGAACTGAGGTCTTTCCATTCCACAGTCTGGTCAAGAAACAGCTGGAGATCACACTTTTTCTACTGTAAGTTTAATTGTCGAACCGTGCAGATCAACACAGCAACACATTAAAAAGAGACTTACAAGAGGCTCCTTGTTTTTGACCAGCCTGATAATCTTCACTGAATTCTCCTCATCATCGATGACTTCAGGCAGAGGAGGGAGTTCAGGGTCGTACCGCTTCTGAGCAACTGTATCATGGACGGACAGAAGGCTCTGGAGGAGGGAGAGAAAGCAGCAATTGATGGAAATAATAAACAACAGGCTCAGGAGATCATTGAAAAGTAACAGGGAACATACTGATGAGCCTAATCAGCGACTTTGACATCAATTAGCTTGACTATTTAACTCACTGGACTTTGGTGCAATTAATTAAATTAAGAGATTGGATCTGGATCAGATTCAACATTTTCTCGTGGAAGAGAGACTAAAACTGGAGGGACGGGGGGAGTGGGTTCTGTTTTAGGTTCAGGTTGGACCCGTGTGGGGTTTTGGCTCTTTATGGGGATGGACTGTCAGTCACATTAGCTGAGCTCAGGTCAGCCAGGCATCTATCAGCCTCTCAGCAGGGAGGAGGAGCCATGCTGGCCTGCGGCCCAAACATCAACTGCAGAACACCAGAACTACAGAGTTTCTCTGCTGCTGAGATGGATTTGTCCCCTGAA